CCTGCACTGCCACAACCCCCCCGGGGAGCCCAACAGCACCGTGGAGCTGGAGATGTCTGATGTGGCTGGCCAGGCTCCCAGCCAGGGCCCTGCCAGCACTCCAGGCTCGCGGGAAGCAGCCACCACCCCCGGGAAGAGACGCAAGCGCAAGCCCAAGAAGGTCGTCAACATCGACTGCAAGAAGCAGATCACAAGCTGCAAAGGGACACACAGTGATGTGGTGCTGTTCTTCATCCATGGCGTGGGGGGCTCGCTGGACATCTGGAAGGAGCAGCTGGACTTCTTTACCAAGTTGGGCTACGAGGTGGTGGCTCCTGACCGGGCTGGCCACGGCTGCAGCTCGGCGCCGCAGATCGCCGCCGCGTACACCTTCTACGCGCTGGCCGAGGACATGAGGGCTGTCTTCAAACGTTATGCCAAGAAGAGGAACATCTTGATAGGACATTCCTATGGGTAAGGCACCTGGAGAAGGGAGGGATTCATCACACCCACCCTCCATCCTCTCCTCGGTGGCAAACTCCCAATAAATCCCACACTTTGAGGGTGTCCTGCTCTGGGTTTATCCCTCAGTTCTGATCTCCTCCATCCTCTTGGGGGGTGTTTCTGGGCCCAGCTAATCCCAGGGCCTGGTCTGCAGTGGGGGAGCTGGTAGAATATGGGCTATAAATAGAGTAAGCCCAAGAAAGTCAATTAGATGGAGACTAAGCAGTGCCTGGGAGGAGAGGGAGCTGAGTCGGCTCTGAGCTGGGCAGGATTAGCTCAGGACAAGGCTGGGTCAGGCTGGCTGGCACCCAAGTGGGTCCCAGCACCCTGCAGGAGTGAAACTCCCAGCTCAGCCCCTCAGCAGGGGAGTTTGGCTCCCCTGCCCTGGAAAAGGTCAAACAAAGGGTTGTAGCCTTCTCTCCAGCCATGGAGCCTTGAGATCATAGAATCCTGGACTGGTTTGGGTTGGAAGGACCTTAAATCCCATCCAGTCCCACCCCCTGCCATGGGCAGGGACACCTCCCACCAGCCCCAAGCTCTGTCCAACCTGACCTTGAACACTCCCAGGGATGGAGCAGCCACAGCTTCTCTGGGCAACCTGTGCCAGTGCCTCAGCACCCTCAGGGTCAGAGCATGTCTGTCTGTCCCCACAGGGTGTCCTTCTGCACCTTCCTTGCCCACGAGTACCCAGAGCTGGTCCATAAGGTGATCATGATCAATGGTGGTGGCCCCACAGCGCTGGAGCCAAGTCTCTGCTCCATCTTCAACATGCCAACCTGCGTGCTGCACTGCCTGTCCCCCTGCCTGGCCTGGAGCTTCCTCAAGTGAGTTGTCATCCCCGTGCTGGGAGGGACACTGCATCCCCCATGCTCCTGTCCTAACCCTTGGCTCTGTCCCTCAGGGCTGGCTTTGCTCGCCAAGGTGCCAAAGAGAAGCAGCTGCTGAAGGAAGGCAATGCCTTCAACGTCTCCTCCTTCGTGCTTCGTGCCATGATGAGTGGGCAGTACTGGCCAGAGGGGGATGAGGTGTACCACGCTGAGCTGGCTGTACCCGTGCTCCTGGTCCATGGGATGCACGACAAGTTTGTCCCAGTGGAAGAAGATCAACGAATGGCTGAGGTATGGGATGGAGTCAAAGGTCAGGCTCGATCATCTTTTCCAACCTAATTGGTGCTGTGAGTGGGGCTGGGTGGGTGAGAGGGGTCTGGGTGCCAGCAACACACAGTGAACTCCTCCCAGCACTCACCCTGTGCCACCACCTCCCTGCAGATCCTGCTGATTGCCTTCCTGAAGGTGATCGACGAGGGCAGCCACATGGTGATGATGGAGTGTCCCGAAACGGTGAACACGCTGCTCCACGAGTTCGTCCCGTGGGAGCCAGAGCCGCCCGCTGG